TTTTTTTCAGCGAAGGTTCTGGAACATCTCAGCATTTCGTTCTATGTCTGTCTGAGGCGTGACCAGCATGCATCCGAAACGGAGGCCCTGAAGGAGCAGCTTGACCACTCAGCTGAGTGCCTGAAATATGCGAGCCTTGGCAGAATGAATTGAAATTCGTTATGAGCTCACTATATTATGATGTTGAAGATCAATTGCCATATCAGCGGACAGGAAATTGGAGATTGCCGACTTGAGCCGCGATTTGCAGCGGCGCCAAAGGCGATGAGTCCAGGTGCTGTAGCAGCTGGCAATACTATGCTCAGTGAGCAATATCTGAAATCTTCACCCCTAACTTATTAATCATATACTTAGCCTGACAGCCAGTCTACACACAGGTGTTGCAAGGCAAGCTTCAAAGAAGCAAAACATAGACCCATGCTCATGGGGCCGGAAAAGCTCATCTTTGCCAACGACATGAGCAGCTCACATATCCATCGTGCATCACTGAGTCAGTCACATAATATGTGCCAGGCAATGGGCTCGTGTCATCTTGCAATGCATGGAGAAGGACCTGCCAGGGGCACAAGCTTGCATGAGGGCAAGCAGCATTTCTGCTGCTATGTTGAGTTTTGCAGCATGATTCTTCATGCCAAATGTGTATGTGAAGGCAGGGGCTCGAGTGCATGCAAGTATGCAAGCAATAAGCAGAACAATGAGATAGTCTAATCTATCGTGCAAGATAGATTAATCAGGATGATAATAACCAACTCCCCTGTGGCATCTTTGCAGCAATGGCAGCCACCTGCGACACCACAGGGGGCCACTTGCATTGCACAGTGAACTAGTCATCTGCTGTGTTCAAGTTTCAGGCACCTGCCAGATCAGCAATCCAGGCTGGATTGGTGATCTAGGAAGTATCTGGGGCTTGAACACATCAGATAAGTAGTTTTGATCTAATTAAGAGATAGCCTTTGTGAAATTCCAGTCATCAAGCTTGTTTGGATGAAGAATACTACCTAGATAGGCAATCCAGGCTGAATTGGTGATCTAGGAAGTAGATCCGAACGGCACCTTGCAGATCACCAGAACCTGTAGCTGTTCACTTCTTGTTGAAACCTGCAGGGGTTCACTGGAATTATTAGGAAATGCTCATGTGTGACAGACTTCCAAGCCTAGCCTTTCAAAAAAATGAGCAGAAAAGTGAGCCATGTATTTGCCAAGGCGAAGACGTCATTCAGCTGGAATCAGATGGTGAGAAGTCAGACGCTAGGCGATCATTGGCCTGTGTGTATGTTTTGTTGTGAACCATTCAACACTGGAAGATACATTTTCTACCAACCGTCTTTGTTAATTGAATGTCTTTGCTGCTGCTACTCCAGGATTTGGAGATGGGAGGTAGCCCTGAGCATATCAATGAAGGCAACATCGCCCTTGAGGAGGGCTCAGGCACACCACCTGTGGGCATGCAACTGGAATCTGATGATGATATGCCTGGTAGTCACCGGGACAGTGTAGCCTGGCAGCCTGGAGTTGATGTTGGCAACTTCATCTCAAGACGGCAAGGTTTCTGGCAAGCATAATAAGAAAGGCTTCTGCCAGTTTTTGTTCAGGACTGATGTGGTCCCAGGGTCCCAGGTCCAATTTATTCTGTCAAGCAAGAAATAGCACACAGCCACAGGTTTGGGCGTTCAAGCGCAAGCCTTGCTATGCAATGTTTACCTGGGCATCAAGAAGCTGCCAAAGCAGCTTATGAAGCAGATTATTGACAGCCTGCCGGAGGTTCAGTCTGTTCGGCCACTTGCTTCTCATGCAGCTGCAGCTCTTCTCCGCATCAGCGGGCGCACAATCAACAACATTCTGCAACGTGTTCAAGACAATGGATGGGTGCCCCGTGATGTGCAGCCTCCGGCAGCCCAAAACGAGGCTGTGGATTTTAGCAGAGATGGACAGTGAGACAGGAAGCAGATACTTCGGGCTTTGGTGAGGGAAGCTATACATTCATCTGCTCACGGCCGTCCTGATGATTCATACCTTCAGGCTGCAGCTAGACTCCGGCTCTGCGGGGTAGATACCGGCGATAAATTCGTCTCGCGCCCCTTTCTCCGCTTATGCGAGTTTCTATGTGCAAAATTGATCGAAATCTGCGATGCAGAATCACTTTCTCAAAAGCTTCCTGCTATCGGTGTGCTTCCTCCAATTTCCATAGCATTCGATGGAGTGTCAGTTGGAGATTCAATGTATGCTCGTGCAGAATCCTTTCAGATGTTGGTTCTCAGCTGCGTGTCTTCACATACTGGTTTCCTTGGATGTCATTTTATCAGCTGCCCTTCATCTGGATTGGCGCACGACGGCAAATCCCAGAGCCGGCTTGTGCTGCATGCATTGGAAAATCATGCCGCTAAGTTGTCAAAGGCATCACTTCAATCACGGGGTGTGTGTATCATTGGCGGCGATGGCGGGACAGTGCAGGGAGGAGTGAATCAGCGCCACAGTAGTACCTCTGCAGGAAACTACTTGGCTGCCGAACTGTGTCCAAATTCTGAGGAAGGCCAGTGGGCTGAATGGGAGGCCTTTCACAGGTCGGAGGCAGCTTTCCGCCATGCACTAGCAACCTCAGAGTTTGGCAAAGAATTATACGCTGTTGCCAGAGCAATGGCTCAGAACTTTGGATTTGGCGTTGGCAGAGTCTTGCTACGATCAGTTTCATCACTTGCAGAGTCTGATGTACCAGGGGAGCAAAGCACGCCTGCATGCGATGTCGGTGGTACCCGCAAAGGCATTGCAATGCAAAGGGTGGCCTCAAATGTCCTTGCCAACTTCCGAAAA